CCTCTACCCCTGAAAAGATGAGAAGGAACTAGGAAGACATAACATTTCTTAAAGTTAGGGAACTCAAATGAACTGGGGCATGTTCTTTTTTCCTAGAAATTCTTTCTTCCTTCCTCCCTCCCTCCCCACCCTCTTTCTTTCTTTCTTTCTTTCTTTTCTTTTCTTTTCTTTTCTTTTCTTTTCTTTTCTTTCATAAAGGAAATCCATCTAGCCCATGATGTTACAGCACAACAGCAGAGCTCAAGCTGGGATATCTCTTATGTCACCCAAACAACAGGGTTTGGAGGAAGAGCTGACATATCTAAACTTACCTGCATCAATGGTAAATAAATAGACCTGGAGTATGCCTCTTGCCAATTATTCAGTGAATTTGACCTAAATTATCTTATTTATAAAGTGGAATTAACCTCTCTTGTTCTCTCTCTTTCTGAACGACTTGGTAGAATTTGATAGTCTGGACCCTTTTGAAAGAGAGACCAGGGTGATTCAAATCCACATGTTGAGTGCTCTATTTTCACTCAAGTGATCTTTGTCATCAGGGCATGTTTGATATAGATTTACCTGGGGCTAGAGAGGGTGACTTCTGGAAAAGACAGAATGGATGGTGGTCTCCCATAGTATTGAGGAGGTCTGGGAGCAGGGGGTCATGGTGAATTTCAAATGCTTCTGTAATGCTGGCAAGAGGTTCTGAGCTTGAGCATTAACACAGCTAAGAGAAGACATGGACACTTGCAGCTGGCACCTCCTTGGGTTCAGACCATTACTCCTTCTCTGGTATTGGAAGGTGGAAACTGGAGGTGATTGTAGGGGAAGAGTTTAATCACAATGTTGGTGTCATGCTGTGAGTTGCACAATCCAGTGATTGTCAATACCCTTTGGTTAACCAAGGGTTCAGAGTAATACTTGCAAGAATAGCTCAACTTCTCCATTGGTTGGGGGCACTTCTGAAGAAAATATTTGCTCAATTCATTGAGATCATTCTGAAGAAATTATTTCCATAGTTAGTGGGTGACAAGGAGTTGGTATTGCCACAGGCATCTTTGCAAGGACAGCTGTATCTATGAACTGTGGGTCAACTGTTTCTCTCCCATAGAGCAGAACATGCTGATGTTCCTTCACAACTGCTCTGGCTACGCAGAAGTGATATAAATGATGATGTCACTACAGTCTAAGTCATAAATAATCCTCAGCAGCTGGAATGAAAGAACCTCAGTCTAAGATGGCTTCCTTAGTCATATGTCTGATGCCTGGGCTGGGATGGTTGAAGGTTGGCTCAGCTGGAGCTATCAGCTGGAGCCGTCTACATGTGGCCTTCCATGATAGCATTCTTAAGACCCAAAGACAAGTGTTCTCGGTGAATAAGGTAGAAGCCGCATGGCCTTTTATGATCTAGATACAGAAGTCACATCGCATCTCTTCCACTATAAACTATTATTGATCAAAGCAGCTACCAACCTGTCTAGATTCAAGGAGAGGAGACCTAGATCCCATCTCTCCATGAGAGATGTGTCAAAGAAATTGTGGCCATGTTTTAAAATCACTACGGTATTTTATCTGTAAATATTTGCATTAGTTTCTTATTGCTGCTGTAACAAATTATCACAAATTTACTGGCTAGAACAACATAAACTTACTCTCTTACGTTTTTGGAGGTAAAAAGTCTGAAAAGGGTCTCACTGGTTAAAACCAAGGTGTCTATAGGGCTGCATTCCTTTTTGGAAGCTCTAATGTAGAATCCATTTTTTTTTTTATTGTCTTTTTTTTTTTGGCTTCTGGAGGCTGCCCACATTCCTTGGCTACACCAACTTTGTGATTACATTGGACCCACTCAGATAATCGAGGATAGCTTTTCCATTTCAAAGTCAGTTGATTAGCAGTCTTGATCCCTCCTTGCTCTGTAACATAACATATTCACAGGTTTCAGGGGTTAGCACGTGCACATCTTTGGCAGGGCTGGCGGTGGGGACATTATTCTGCCTACCACAATATTTCAGTCCCTATCTTAAAAATAAGGATTAAAAAATACAATCACAAAACCATTGCTTATTTTCCATCTGTATATCCTCTTCAGTGAAATGTCTGTTCATGACTTTTGCCCATTTTCTAATTGAATTGTTCATTGTTTTTACTGAGGGTTCTATGTATATTCCAAATATAATTCCTCTGTCAAATATATGGTTTGAAGATATTTTTTCCCATTCTGTACTTTTTAAAAAAAAATCTTCTTGATAGAGTCTTGAAGAACAAAACTTTAAAATTTTGATGAAGTCTAACTTATTAACTTTTCCTTTTATGAATTATGCTTGGTGTCAAATCTGAGAACTCTAGGTCTTGAGATTTTCTCTTTAATTCATTTTTTTTTCCTAAAAATTTTATAGTTTTATGTTTTCCATTTAAGTCTATAATCCCTTTTGAGTTAATTTTTGTGTAAGGTGTGAGGTTAGGGTCAAGGTTCTTCTTCTCCACCTCTTCTTCCTTCTTTTTGTCTATGTATGTTCAACTGTTCCAGCACCATTTATTAAAGAGGCTATCCTTCCTTCCTATTCCTTCTGTAAGTATTTGGTAGAATTTGCTTATGAAGCCAGTAAGATATGAAGATTTTTTTTGCAAAGAATTTTAATTACTGGTTTAATTTCTTAAAAGAAATAGAATTATTTATATTTTCCATATCTTTTTGTTACATAGTCTTCTTGTGTCAGTAAATTATATTCCTGATAAGAGAGAAAAGGGATTGTACTTTAAAAGAACAGCAAAATTTTGTAAGCATTTATCATCCTGAGCTGGGGAAGTACCCGGGGATTGAATTTTGAAGATGCTTAATTAAAGAAGCTGGGACACAAGAATAGATAAAGGAGAGCTTATTGACTTGGTGATACTCTTTCTGGAAAAAGACTGTAACTTCCTGATAAAGATCCCAGGGTTTGGTGCAAATTTGTTTCCAGGAAAGCTCCAGAAGCCTGGAGAAAGCAAGGCTTGTACTGAATGAAGTTAAAATACCGGAATTGTCATGACAGATGGCGGAGGAAGGGATGAAAAAGTTCATGGAAGTGGGCATGCTGGAGTGTATATACTATGTGAGGCTGGAAGACCCACCAATTATATTCCATGGGAAGGCCCAGAGAACACATTGTTCACCAAAGCTATCAGGATTCATGGATGAGACGGACACCAGCATCTCTAAAAAGTTCAGTGGTATCTCTCCTCTGTAGGCCAGGGCTGATAGTGGGAGTGGCTGGCAATAAGAATGATGCCCTCCCTCCTCGAATCTTCAAAATCATATCTTCATTAGTTTTGTTGAAATTTTAGCCATTATCTCTTTAGATACATCTGCTGTCTAATTCTCTCTCTCCTCTCATTTAGGGATTCCAATTAAGCACACAACAGATACCCTACGCTATCCTCTGTGTTCTCCTATCCTCTCATTTATATTTTCCATTCTTCTGTTTCTCTTTGTTTCATTTTGCTGTGTTTTAACTTTACCTACATTTCTTCAGTTGTGATTAATATGCTGTGTTTTTATTTCAGTTATTGCATTTTTCAGTTCTAGAATTTATTTTGACTTCTACAAATCTGCGATGATACTCGTTATAGTTTCCAGTTCCTTGCCAAAAAGTTCAAGCTTTTTTTTTTTTTTTTGGTGGGGGTGGGGGTCGGGCATTAGTTCCATCAGCATCTGGGATCATGTTAAAAAAATTTCAGAGTTTGAGATTTTCTAGACCATGCAGGTGTCTGAAGCTGGCCTCCTGTCTGTTGAAGGGCTGGTTCACTTCTAATTTACTTTTACTCCCAGGACATCAGCCCAAACAGAGAATGATTTCTTAAGGTCTTTTCATTTGGGCAGCCCTGGACTTTCAGTTTTCCTCCAGCTCATTGAGGCTGTGAAAGGTCCAGCTCACCTTCTCAGACACCTCTTCCAAATTGCAAACAGCCTCACTCTAGAAGAGGCATCTAATACCAGGCTCACATCTATGGATCTGTCTTCTCTGGGATCTTAAACTAACAATTCCTTACTCCTTGCTTGCCTAACTAGGCTCTCTCTTATCAGGGAGTTATGCATTCCTGGTAAATCTGTTTCAAGTGGAACATAGGCACGTTGAGACTATTTCCTAGTGGTTCGTTAAGAATGTGGGACTTGCTCTGGTCTGCAGTTTGACCCCACATTACTAGCTATGTGACCTTGGGCAAGTGTCTTAAGCTCACTGAAACTGTTTCCTCATGTGTCAAAGGGGGATAATCAGAATATATACAACACAATGATATTTTGAAGATTAGACAATACATGGAAATCCCTTAGTATAGGGTGTGGTTCATAGTAAGTCCTCAAAAACTGTTAGTCTTCATTCTTAAGAAAGCTGAATTTATAAAAATCCATAAATATGCATGAGAGAATGCTTTGCTTTAGTGTTCATTTATGTGGCGGATTTCCCTGGTGTGTATACATTCGCATTTGTCTTTAATACTTTGCTTCTTTTTAGCCTAGGAGCAATGTGTCTCTGGTGTAAAGCCTGGTGTCATTGGAATGACAGTCATCCCCTTTCTCTTGCCTTCCCTTCTTACTCAGATGCCTCTAATCATTCCATCTCATTCCTCCAGACAATGAAACTGATTTATCAGAAGGGGGAGAACACAAAAGAATAGCCAGAAGTCCAAGATTTACTTTAGAAAACAAAAAGAATCTTTATTATCCTGACAGTTTTAACAGAGTAAAGGGCTCATACAAACTCGATAAGCATCTGTTGATAGGTTTGGTCCAATGTCTACCCAAAGACAGGAGCACAATCATTCACCATCACCCTGAATATGAGTCAACCACTGAATGATTGGGAAAGGGTTTGGGAATAAGAGGATGTTATATGATTTCTCAGAGAAAGCATCAAATTGAATAAAATGATTTCTAATATTTAACACCTTATTAAATTAAAGAAAGGTTTCGGAATGCGGTGAGTGGATGAGGGAAGGAGTCGTAAGAGAGGGAACTTCTGGGGTTGCTGGGCATTCCCCTACTTTTGTTCCTTGCTACCCTCTGGAACGCTGGACCACCGGACCAGTTGGGGATTCTCCAGGTGGCTGATGTATTCCTGAACCCAGGCATTGTGGGGATCGGCACAGATATGCTGGCCCTTTTTGGTGAGAAAGCTATGGAGAGAGCAGAGGTATTATATAGGGCATGCATGATCATCTGTAGCCCCTCAGCTTCATCCCTGTGGGCAGCTTAGAGCTAGTCCACCTTATCAAAGATTCATCTCCAAACCTCAGATACTATCGGTCCTTCTGAGTGACTTATGGACATAACCTAAGGCTACCTCCTTTCTGCTGTCTCTTTCTCTCCTCTCTTCCCTCTACTTCTGGGCACATCTTCCCTGGCTCCCCGTAGGTTCCATTTCATGTCAGGAAACAGCCCCAGTGGCCTTTTTCTGTGTCCTGCATGGAAAAAAAGGCCCCCAGAGGGCTGGGCTTTCCCAGGATGGCTGCTTATCCACCAGAGGGTACACAAGTGGACAACTACTCCCTGCTCAGACTCCTACGGACACTCTCCTGCTCCCATGTCCTGTGTCTCCCCAGGGGTGAGCAAGAGGACTGGCACTTACATAACACCATGTTTGGAGCACTGGCCACTGGTCTTAAAATAGGTAACCACACGTCCGCGGGGGATCGGCCGGGACGTGTAGGTGAAGCAGCAGGTGGATGCCACGTTAGTCTTATCTGTGGGGGAATAAGAACAACAGGAGTTTCTCAGGAGCACAGGCACGCCCGAGAGGGTCAGACAGAAGTAGAGAGAGACGGCATAGCTCAGCCATGAGACTTGAGGGAAAAGGAAAATGGAAATAATTTGACTTTGTTTGTTTTTCATTAATTTCCTTAGTCTTATCTTTGGTTTTGTCTCTTCATTTTGGTCTCTATCTTACTCTACAGGGAACCAAACTCTAGATATCTGCTTCCTTTTCCTAACTCTTTTTGGAGAAAATTTATTATTTAATCCATTAAATCATAAGATAGCTGAGGGAAAATAGGGACAATTCTTGCAACTCTGGGGAATAGCTAAGGTAGGCAATTCTAAAACTTACCAGCACCAACGAGATCTAAATAGACCTAGACTCTACCTCATGCTAATAACCCAATAAATTAGACTTTAATGACCTCATCCAAAAGGTGAGATAAGATCTCTCCTAACTCCCATCCTGCAGCCCAAATCAATAGACTTTTTTTTTTTTTTTAACCCTCTTGAGGAAAACAAGTGTCGTTTTTGAAACCCCATTCGAGATTTTCTAATTTCCCACGGAGGTTCTCAGGCCAGAGCACTTGGAAGATGTGGTCTGACTTCTGTCCAGAGTTCGGGGAGCAACTGTCCTTAAAGGAAACTAGACAATATACTCACTTTCATCATAGGAGCAGAGGGCCATAGTGCAGAGGAGGACAAGGACGGTAGCACCAAGGACCTTCATGGCGCTGGGCAGGCAGAGGAGTGTGGGCAGAACTGAGATGGGGCTTTGGAATTCTCTACTGCTGCCTTCTTTCTGAGATCTTCACTCTCTTTCCTCCTTTTATAGGCAGCCCTGGATAGTGGGAACATAGAAATCGGAGGTGCCTAAACAAGAAATTTTAAGTATAGTGTTGTCATGTGAGTCGTACAACACAGGATTGCCTAGGGTTACCAGAGAGGTTTAGGGTAAACACAAGAATGGTTCAGTTGCTAATTTGGTTGGAGTGCTTATTGAGGAAGTTGTTTCTCCAGATGAGTGACCAGGAATTGACATGATCCAAGGATCATGCTTAGCTGTTTCCTGTTCACATGACAGACATCTCTCTGAAGTAAGTGGTCACAGCCCCCTTCCATAGAGCAGAGCACTTTGATGGGCTTCACAGTGTTCTGACCACATATATGTGACATTTGTAATAATATCACTGAGTCTCAAGCAGTATAAGCCAAGCTAGCCACACCATAGATGGAAAGAACAGAATTGGGAAGCCTACGCTGGATGTGGATCAGCAGCAGTCTTAACACACGTCCACACTCTTTGAACAAGAAATTCTACTTCCTGTAATTTATCCTATGGAAATGAACTCGCAAATGGGGAACATTTTAATGACAATGTTGTTTGTTACAGCTTCTCTATTGTTAAATAAGTGACACCAAACTACACACTCCACAGTGTTGGAATGATAAAGTAAATCCACTGAGGGACCACTAGCCAGCCTCTTAAACAAATAGAATGACATGAAAATACTTAATTTTTAATATTAAATATTAACAAACAAGATGCAAAATTTCATATGTAATTTTATTTCAAAAATCCTGGGAAGAAAATAAAAACAGAAAGAAATAAAGCTTCCTACCTATGCCTATAGGATCCTCACCCCATGTCCCATGGGTTGTCTCTCCCCACAAGCCCTGCTTCTCTCCAGGAAGGAAGAATAGTACTGACATTACATGAGGGTAGGAACACTGACCATTATTAGTGTCACCGTGATTATCAACATATTTGTGATGGCTTTAGAGAGAAGCAAGGGAAGCGGCAGGCAGTGGGGTGTCTGCCCTATCCGCGAGTAAGTAGCAATCGAGAGCCTGAGAAAAGCCAAGTCAACTTCTTCCACCCTCTAAGGGGGCCAGCAAAAAGCTGAGGGAGATGTTTCTGCTCAGGGCTGCAAAGTAGGGCACAAAGGGAACCAAGGAAGCTAAGCATTTCTTTACCTTGAATTTTTGACTCTCTGCCTCTGTCTTAGCCTCTAGCGCCCTCTTCAGGGACCAAAGCTATTGGAACAGTTGACCCTTGTTCCATCTCTTTTGGGGAACTTCATCTGGTCCACAGATGATTCTGTAAATCACCTCAAAGGTGGATCTCCTTGGGAGAACTAAGGGGAATCTGCCATTTGGCTTATCCTAAGAATCAAATGGACCTGGGTTTGAATCTTGTTAATGGTTGAGTTAGCCCTCAATTTCCCAACTAAAAATGGGTCCTAGCCTTCCTCAGATCCAGAGACTAGTGAACAAATACTCCCTGCTCAGACTCCTACGGACACTTCCCTGCTCCCATGTCCTGTGTCTCCCCAGGGGTGAGCAAGAGTACTGGCACTTACATAACACCATGTTTGGAGCATGGATAGATAAAATTCTTTGGGAAATAGCCCAGAACATTTTGAAATGTTCTATGTTCTTCACTTTCACTTAGGGAATCTCAAGCCATAGGACTTAAGTGATAAGGTTTAGACATCAGTCCAGAGCGTTGGGACACAACTCTAAAAGGAAGAAAGGATGAGGGCTGAGAGAGCCTTGTGGTACAGATAATACTTGTGAGCTGAGGGCCATGGAGAGGAGATGTCCACAGGGGCAGCTAGGAAGAGTTTGCTGATGTTGAGCAGGCTTAGGAGTATGGGCAAAGCCAAGGCAGGGCAGGGCACTCACTGCTGCCTACATCTTTCTAGTGTCCAGCCTTTGTCCTTGCTTATTTATAGGCAACTCTAAACCATGAGGAACTGGTGGCTGGGGATGGCCAGAGGGGAAGTTGGTGTCATGAGTTGCACATGCTGGGGTACCAGGGTCACACAGAGGTTCAAGGTATATAAGAATAGCTTGATTGCTCACTTCTTGGGGGTGATTGTGTGGAAATGTTTTGGACAGTGAGAAGAGGTGAGATGATGTTAATGTCAGAGGTAACATAGAGAGATCTATAGATTAACAGGAGCCAGGAGTTGTTATCACTGAGGTACCAAGCTTAACTGGTTCCTTTGATCAAGAACATCTCTGTCTATGAATGGCATCATTCTCTTTTCCCTTCCACAGAGCAGACACATCTAAGGTTCTTCACAGGTGTTTTGACTGCGTAGATGTGACATATATAATGATACCACAGAGTCTTAAGTAGCTTGAACCATGTTTGATCTAGACCCAGTTGGGTAGAATAGAATTGTGAAAGCCTGGGCTACAGACATGACAGGAGTGACAAGGTCAGCTTTTTAAACATTCACAAACATTCATCAAACATTTACAGGTCCCTACAATATGCCATCACTGTGTTTAACAGTAAGGCAAAGAAATGATATGGGGTGTCTATATAGATCAGGAGCCTTGAATGTTCTTGTTTTTTGACACAGAAAGTCTATAGCTAGGAAAATATTCAACAGAAATAACATTATTTATTATTTATGAAGAAAGTTTTCTACATGTAGACGTTTGGTACAGTTTATTTATAACAAAAATTGGAACCAGTTCAAGAGTGCTATAATAGTGCATAATAATAGTAATGCAATAGGCAACTCTTAAACATACTGGAATGATTTTTAACAGTTTTATAATGTTAAGTAAAAATAAGAAAAATACAAAATTACATCTATAATGTGACTACAATAATGACCCTCTAAAACACAAAATAAATAAAGGAAGTAAGCGAAGAGAACTATCATGAGCCTAGAAAAAATGCACTTGAAAGAAGTAAACCAAAATGTTATAGTGGTTAGAGTTGGGTAATAATTTTTCCTACCTTCAAGAAAAGAAACTTTGCTCAGATTATGCCTCAATAGATGCCACATTACGACAGGGAGAATGCAGAGGAAAACCTCCCACATCCTTACTTGTCCTTGCTTTGCTGTCTACCTAGCTTTCAGAAACAAATGTTTTTGTTCTTTTCCGTATTTTATATATTTTTAAAATTAGCTCTTACCGCTTCTGAGGGGGTAACCTACAGTTCACATAATAAATCATGTAAAAAACCCCAATTTGAATTAAAAACACTAGTAACCTTACTTTTTCTTTACTCCTGTGAGACTCCCTCCTGTGCCAGTGCATGAGACTTTGTGACAATGTGATGCCCAAGCAGTGATAGCCATTTTGTAACTATGAGGTGATAAGTAGTCCAAAGAAGAAAACCAACAAAATGATGAGGAAAGGGAGAAGTTTTAAGAAGAGTCCTTGATGACATCATCGAACTGTCAGACAAACCCTGAGAAGGCCATCTTGACTTTATAAGAAAGCAAAATGTTCTAGGATTTTTGAGGAATGAGGACTTCCTATTTAAATTGATATACTCTCTGAGTTTTTAAGGGCTAATTATTTTTACAAGAAGTGAATATACTATAATTTATTTAATTGTAGACCGTCTTTTTAATTGTTACAAACAAGCTGTGACAAACACCATTATGCATACAACTTTCTTCATCTTTGCGTTTATATCCATAGGATAGAGCCCTGGCAGAGTGCTTTGCTTGTCAAAAGTAAAAACATTTTAAGGCTCATCATTGATATTAGCCCCCATTTGGCCCAGCTAACCCAGGGACCAGCTGTTTTGTGTTGGTCTCAGCCTATCAATAGTGATACTAGAAGTGCCTGGGGGCACTCACCTGGGCCCATACTACTTGTGGCAAGCCCTTACAGACATTTCTCTGATAGTAGCTAAAGTGTGGCTGGACCTAGCCCTGTGGTTCTTATTACAATTGCAATATACCCTTCAGCAATAATGATCAGAGAACTTTGAAAATACAAGTTTTATTACTCCCAAGTCCTAGAGGGTATACAGCATGCCCAGGGCCACACACCAAGTTTGTGAGTAAAGAGCTTGCATCTGGGATTCTGCCTTTATTGGGGTCAAGGTAGGGTGCCTAGGGTTTTGCAGGTTCACTCTTTATTGTTGAATTTTAAATATTAAGTGGCAGTTAAAGCCCAGAACGGAAAAAGTAGAGTCAATCAAGTGGTAAGTTATTTAAGTCATCCAGGACTTTCTACATATGGAAATTCATAGGTGGGGCAGCCTGGCTCTTTATCTAGTTGTGTGGCTGGCAATATGTTTATTCAAGATGGATATCTTTGAAATAGATGTCTCCACAATCAGAAGCTTAATGTCAGGCACTTACATTACAATTAAAAAAACTAATTGTCAGGCACTTAACACTGCACAGGCCTATTGTGAAATTCAGTGATTGTTTGATAAATGAGCCACGGTCTGAAAGGCCAGCCTCCATCTCGTGCCCTTCTGTAGCAGAGGCTTCCCCATTTCTGCTGTCTCCATCCAGAATTTGGTTTTAGCTTGTGTCGTCCTTCGCAAGACTCTATGGCATTATCTATGTTACATCTATGCCATTGGAACAGCTGGGATGGATATCAAGAGGTTCAGCTCTTTGGGAAAATTTCTTGAGCTACAGATCTGCTCTTGTGAGAAGGTGCCAGCTAATGTGGTCCCAGGGTCACACCAGCATCTCACCTTTTCCCAATGTGGAAACCATTTCCTTATCAAGTAAGCAAACAAACCATGCTTGCAAATAGCCTGCACCCTTGTAGTGACCCAATGCTTTTTGGCTTATGCAATTCACAGCATGGCATGAATTCTTTCTGAATTTCTGATTGTCCTTCGAATTGTCCTTTATTCTAGGACATCCAACTGTAAAGTGAATCACTTGCAGACACTTCCACTTTTTACAAGTTACTCTCTCGACATCTCTTTACTGGGTTTTAAGG